TCCGTGACTCGCGCCATCATACCGTCGTGCAGCTGACGCACCATCTGAGTGAATCGCTCCGGACAGCCGAATTTCTGCATGATCTTCCACAGTCCTTCACGATTCACCGTGTCGAAGGCTTTCGTCAGGTCCACGAAGGTGGGTGTAGGTTGGTGCTCCAGGCACTGGTTCGCCAGTCTCTGTGCGATGGATTCGCAAGTGACCGACCAGGCCGATGCGTGAGGTAAAGGTGTGTGGGCAATGTGGGCTTGAGAGGCCGGCGGTGTCAGTGTCAACGGTAGAGGAAGCAGCGGTTTCGGTGGTGTTGGTGGTGGTGGTGGTGGTGATGGGCGCGTGTGGCGGTGAAGCAAGTGTGGGGCTGGGCATGGTGAAGCTGTTGCATGTCGTGGGTGTGTCGGGAGTGCGGTCAATGCCACTCTCGTGGATGAGCATGTGGCCAAATAGGCCCATGCGATGCCTGAAGGTGCGAGGGCAATGTGGGCAGTGGAGGCGAGTGCGGTGGGTATAGGTTGGTGCTCCAGGCACTGGTTCGCCAGTCTCTGTGCGATGGATTCGCAAGTGACCGACCAGGCCGATGCGTGAGGTGAAATTGCGTGGGTAATGTGGGCTTGAGAGGTCGGAGGTGACGGTGTCAGCTGTAGAGGAAGCAGTGGTGGTGGTGGTGGTGGTGGTGATGGGCGCGTGTGGCGGTAAAGCAAGTGTGGGTCTGGGCGTGGTGGATGTGTTGGATGTCGTGGGTGTGTCGGGAGTGCGGTCAATGCCGCTCTCATGGATGCGCATGTGGCCAGATAGGCCCATGCGATGCCTGAAAGTGCTAGGGCTATGTGGGCAGTGGAGGCGAGTGCGGTGGGTATAGGTTGGTGCTCCAGGCACTGGCTCGCCAGTCTCTGTGCAATGGATTCGCAAGTGACCGACCAGGCCGATGTGTGAGGTGAAGGTGCGGTCGCAGTGAGGGCGGGTGTAGTCCTGGTCCTCATCGCTGGAGTCAGAATAGGTGGGGGTGGTGTCTGTTGTTGTGTCGCGGTTGGTGATGTGCGAGACGGCCGCCTGAGCGGCCGCCGTTCGTGCTGTGATGGAGGAGGAGAGGGAAGAGGAGGAGGAGGAGGAGTAGGAGGAGGAGGATGGAAGTGGTGGTTGAGAAGAAATGTCAGAGTTATTTGGCCCTGATGGTCTCCTGGAGAGATGGCGGGAGGTCGAGGTCTACGTTGGTCTCCACTTGCGGCAAACGCTCGATGGCGGCGTCGGAGGTGACGGAGGGGCGGATGAGGACGCCTCGGAAATGCTCGGCCCATCGTTGCAGGATTTGTGTCTTCTCAGTCAGGAGAGTACTGCCGTCGGCGCTGAGAAGAGGAGCAGTGCCCTTCGTCGGCGGACCGTAGACAGCTTTGATCGCAGAGAAGAAGTTCTTCCATTCGTTGCGGTCCGCGTACCCTTGGACCTCCTCAGCTTTGCGAGCAGTCCAGGCGTCCTGCATCTCGCGCAGTCTTTGCTGAAAATGGCGGCGACTGCGGTAGAAGGCAGCTTTGTTGTCCTCAGTGGGGTGATCTACGTAGGCTTTGTGTAGGCGGTTCTTCTCAGCAAGCAGATTTCTGATGGCGGCGTCGTTGTCGTCGAACCAGTCCTGGTGTTGGCGGGGAGTGCGACCGAGGACGGCGAGCGCCGTCGACTAGACCATGTCTCGCAGTTGACACCAGCGGTTCTCCACGGAGGCGCTCTCGGCAGCGGCGGCGTCAGCGGCGATAGGAAGGTTGTCTAGTCGTTGGGCTAGCTCATTGCTGAAATGAGGACGGTGTGCGGGCAAAGACAACAAAGCAACATTTAACTTACCTGGGGGTCGCTTACCTTGTGGTCTCCTGCGAGGCTGTAGGCGAATACGCATCTTCGAGATGACGAGGCGATGGTCGGTCCAGCCGTCAGCACCCGCGATCGCCTTCGTCACCAGCACGTCCCGCTGATCTCGCCTCCGGACGAGGACATAGTCCAGCACTTGTCACTGGCGCGACCGAGGATGCCTCCAGGTGGCCTTCTCTCGCTCCGGCAGACAGAAGAACATGTTCGTCAGGATGAGGCGGTGTTCTGCGCAGGTGCGTAGAAGCAGCAGTCCGTTGTCGTTGGAGCCACGGAGACCGTGAGGACCCAGCACTCCTCTCCAGGCGGTATGGTCTGTGCCGACGCGGGCGTTGAAGTCGCCAAGGACAATAAACTTGTCCGCCTTCGACACAGTCGCCAAGAGGGCGTGCAGGTCCTCGTAGAATTTGTCTCTGACGGCATCGGAACTGGTCATCGGCGGAGCGTAGGCGCTGATGATGGTGGCGAACTTGCCTCCTCGCCGGAGAGGTAGACGGAGGCTCATTAGGCGGTCGTTGATTCCCTGCGGCAAACAGGGTAGTCGTCCCACGATGTCGGTCCGGATGGCAAAGGCGACACCCGCGTCTCGTCGCTCTGCCCTGGGTCGACCACTCCAGAAGAAGGTGTAGCCGGCACCCACCTCCTCCAGTTGGCCTTGTTCGGAGAATCGGGTTTCGCTGAGTGCGGCGATGTCCACCTTGTAGCGCGCCAGTTCTCGTGCCACTAACGCCGTCCTCCGTTCCGGTCGGTTGCTCCTCGGATTGTCTAAAAGGGAACGAACATTCCAGGCTGCCAGAGTGTGCGGCTCATCCTGCCAGTCTGGGGACAACGAGTGGGGCGACGGGAAGGAGGTGGAGAAGAAGATGGCGAAGGAGAAGAATAGGCAAAAGAATAGGCAGAGGAAGAGGTAGGAGAGGTAGGATGAGGAGAATGAGTATGGTTGTTGTAATTGGTATTGTTGTTGTTTCGATTTTGATTGTTTCGACCGTGTTGATGGCATCTGCGGCCTTGGCTGGCCTGCAGACGGCGTGGTGCCCAGCATTTTTTGGACCACCTTTTCTAGGCCCTTCCCCTCGCGGGGGCAGGCAGTGCCATCCCTGAATCGGGCTGCCCATGTGCCTGGTTGGCGCGACCGAATCCCACTATGGGGCCACGACTTTTATGTTTGTAGTGGAGAACGACCGCACATGCCGTGAGTCCGCGGTCTCCGTCGGCGAAGGTGGGCGCGTCTCAGCGAAGGCGATGCGGAGGCCCGTCCCGGCAGCAGTTATCCAGCGGCGTACCAGGCAGAGCCTCGTCTCGACGATGCCGGCGCAGTGTTACATCCGACCATCCATCCGGCGGAGTCCGCGGTACGCTGTGCACGCGGCACAAGCGCACAGAGCCATCACCTGGTTTAGCCCGCCGGTCGAGGCGGTTGCCCGGGGTGTGGCCGCTGAGCAGAGCCCAGCTACGTGGAGCCGCAGGTGAGAGTTGGGTGCCAGCAAATGGACGCTAGGCGTAGTCTCACCTGCAAGCAAGTGAGCGACCACTACGACCATCACGTGAACCCACCGCTGGTCACCCCTACACCCCACACACACACACACACACACACACACACACACACACACACACACACACTACAATTCTTCCCTGATTAGACCTTCTGCTGCCTCTGCCACCTCTAAACTCTCATTGTCCGTTGTTTCCAGGAAAAACTTTCTTTGGAATAACCTGTCTGTTGTATCCAGCTGTTCAGCCCTTGGAAGTCTCCACGCCCTTCCCGTTCTGGTTTGGCGGAAATCCAGTTAATTATTGGAAGTTTATACGAGAAGTTGAAGTGTGCGTTGAGTGCAATGTTGAAGATGATGGACAGTGGCTGCAGTACTAGATTTACTATTGCCGTGGTGATGCGAGAGCGGCCATAAACGAGTGCGTCATGCTTTCCTCACCTTCGGCTTATTCAAGAGCACGGGAAATATTGAGCAGCTTAGTTGGCCAGCCACATATAGTGGCTGATGCTCTTCTGGACGGTGTCTTCAGACGGGCACGCCATGCAAACCAGGCTGCAAAGGCACTTTCAGATTTGTGCATAAAAATGAGTAGTTGTGAAATGGCACTCATGAAAACGAACTATATTTCTGACCTACAATCGCTGAATGTCCTAGAGCGAATAGTGCACTGTTTACCGTTTTTTATGCAGGTTCAATGAGCTGAGGTTGCTGACAAAATTTCTATTAGTGGTATTGATCCGGATTTTGCAGACCTCACAGAATTCGTAAATACTACGACAGCAAGAAGTCGTTTCAGACAAATATCTCGAGATGGGGATGGCAAGCGCTCTCAACTGCACTTTACTGCCACAGCCCAACATCAAGAACGGAACAACCCTAAAAGTTTTGTCATGTCGGGTGTCGAACCAGATCAACGGCAATGGTACATATGTTTTTATGCACATTTAGTGGCATATTGCTCAATGCTACTTTCGATGGGTGTTGCAGATCGGTGGACTTGTATGCGGCAACATAAAGCGTGTTTTTTTGTCTTGGTAAAACGCATTTTGCCAAGGTGTGCAGCTCCAGAGAACGCTTTGGTCTATCCAGATGCAAAAAACGACATCAAACGCTTTTGCGTGTAATGTCATCGGAAGATAATCAACGAACATTATATGATGAAGGGCTCTGTGCCCTGACTGGAATTATGCATACAATATCATGACTGGGGGTTATTCCTGTCAAGTTGGCAACTCCAGCAGAACACGTTGAAACTTGCGCATTTGGGCAGTGGCCCGGGTGTCACTCTGATTAAACGAAGGCTTCTCGTCCGAAATGGAATGTTAACAACGTCAACAACATTGGCAATAAACACCTTAGTCGATTTAATAAAATGCAGTTCGGAAGTCAGAAGTCTGAGCATGCTGCCCACGAATTAAACCGAGACAATTGAGATTGAGGGGCATTTTTTGTTGAAGACTTGCCACTTTGTGCAGAATCGACAATCAAAAGGATAACCTCTTCGTAGCCACACCTGAGTGGTATAATGTTCGAGGAGCTTACTGATTGCGATGTTGGCATACTCATTGGGAACGATATTGCGAAAGCTCATTGGGTACTCGACTAATGTCTAGGTGGCAAGAGGGGATCGTTCGTCGTTAAAACACTGCTGGGCTGGACACTGTTTGGATCTTCACGTGACAGGCAAAAACAGAACACTGTCTGCCATTGCATTGTAAACAAGAAAAGGATGTGACGCACAACATTAAGAAGCTATATGACTCAGAGTTTTCGGGCACTTCAACAACGACTGCGAGTCACTCCCTGGAGGACAAACGGGCACTCCGTTAAAATCATAAAAAGGCATTACCAACTGTCAGTCCTTTGGCGAAACAGTACGTTAAATTTACCGGACAATTTTCAGTTGTCGCATAAACGTCTAATCTATCTCAATAGCCACTTGGGTTGAAAGCCCGAATTACCTCGTAGATATGACCAAACATTCCGTTCATACATGGAGAAGGGATACATCGAGCGATTTGACGGCAACAAAGCGTTTCCACAATCAAGGAAAGCTACTGGTGTCCTAGGCTCGATTAGATTATCCTTCCCCAATTTTGATGAAGAACTTTTCGGCCGAGTATTTGGCGCAGGCGTTCGACCAATGTTGGAATATTGTGTCCAGGCATGGCGTCCCTGGACGAAAAAAGATTACACCCTACTGGAGAACGTACAATGAAGAGCGACCAAGCTAGTCAGCTGATTAAGTAGCTTACCTTATGAGGGACGGCTGGAGAAGCTAAAAATATTTCCACTATCTTATAGACAGTACAGAGGGGATATGATCATAGCCTTCATGATCGTCCGACGGCTATACTCTGCTCTTCTGTTTGACGATTTCTTCGAACTGGCGCGGAAGACAAATCTCCGAGGGCACCAATACAATTTGAAGACCAAATATGCCAAACTCAATTTGTGGGCCAAATTCTCCTCCCACCGGCTGGTTGAGGGATGGAACAAATTGCCGAACTCCGTTGTCTTAGCGGAAAACGTCGAGACTTTCAAAAGAAGACTAGATAAATTTATGCTTGATGGACAAACATTTACATGATATCAATGACTGGCATAACTGCTATGTGAATGTGTGTATGTTTTTTTCATACGTCTATCTGTAAATAGGGTTTTCCAAGGCTCTGCCTCTATCCCTCATATATACTGAATCATAATGAATCTCCGTGCCGCGAAACGATTATTTCGCAATTCTGACACAGTATGCATCCACTGACCCATTCATGCAAGCACTGCATGATTGTTGTATGCGACAAATTACCTGCTCTTCTTCCGCACTTGCCTTGCATATTGTATTTGTCATGTTATTGTAACCAATAGGGAGTTCAAGTCTGCTCGCCTACCATTCCCTCAATGAACTGAACTGAGCTGAAGAAATAAAAACCTTTTAAATGAAGCACTTCTGGAAGATATTTATCGTGACTGAATTCTCAGCTTCCGGTCGGGCCTCGTAATTTGGTTGGCTAGATCGTTGGCTCTATTAATTTCTTTCCATTACAATCGTGGGTTCGAATGGCACCGAGGCACCAGGTTTTCAATTTTGGTTCACAATAAAGCAATGGGCTTTCTTTTTCGTGTAGATGGTCCTTTGGGTCATATTTGAGAACTTACGCCATTATGAAATCCCAATGTCAAGCATAATGAACTTTCACGACAAAAGTCTACAACAACTATGCTTTCAACCTGTCAGGAGCCTCCTCCAATAAGTTGCCCTTTTAAAAAATGCTCGAATAATCCTTTGCGTTGACGGATGTTTGTGTACTTTGACTTCATACACCATGGTACCAAGAAACGTTTCGGCCGTCCTGTCACGTTGCTAAATAATACTGACATTTTTCTCCCGCAAAGGAAAAACTTACTTTTTTCTCTTTATTGCAGCCGTTTTTCATATTTTTACTTATAGGCTGCGTTCAACGATTATGAATGCACGGCAGAGTAACCGTGTAATTACTGATATTTTACTCGTTCCATTTCTAAATTACGTATGCGCAGACGCTAGGCCGCACGAAAGGTAATGTTTCATATGCTTAGAACTGGAAATGACCACTCGGAAATGCTCACTTTGGTGTCAAGTCATAAGATCTTCTAAACGACAGAACAGTTTCGGCTCATTTCGACGAAGTGTACGTTATAACTGCACTAAAGGACACAAAATTGCTTAGATTTCCTAATCTGACTTTAAAATTGATAAAAATCTCGATCTCTAAAAGTGACCAGCCTGTCAGCAGACGGATTGCCACTGTTATTATCAGACACAAAATCAATTTCAAGCACGACAGGTTCTGTTTAGTAGAACTACCGAGGATAAATCACTCTCCTCTCCAAAACCAATGCGCCCAGACATTCAACCGAAATCTAGGAAAGGTATTGAAATAGGAAATTGCCCGAATAATTCTTGAAGTCCATTTTCGGTCAAATTTGCAAAAGTTTTGTTTGATAGATTGCACAGACGCCTTTTCCAAACAAGGAAAATGCAACTGTTTGAAGGGGCTGTACGAGACAGCAAAGTGTACAACGTTTAAGAAGTTCAAAAATTCTCATATCTGATTCTGTCATCATGTTTCATGAGTTAGCTCACGCATTGACGGATTTTTGTTTACGATGGCAGTCTACCGTTTCGCTGTGCTGGGGGTAGACTGTTTCACGAAGTGGACAGAGACGGTGAGACTTCTGCCAATAGACGCAGTATCTGTCACTTCATACTTTTTCAGCCAAAGGATAGGCCGTTTATGTGGCTCCATATATTCATTTAGATTGCGATGCCAAATTCGACGGAAATACCTATCCGTAAAGTATGCAAACTACCGGAGGTCTATAAGCACCACGCAATTTCCTTCTATCCAGAAGAAAATGACGAAGGAAAAAACGAACCGGGCCTTCACTAACCTTCTTAAAGTTTTCTTTGAAGAGCATCACCCACAGTAATGGGAAAATCACCTTCCCTGTCCTGATAGCTTACTGGGCTAACTGGTCTATATTCCTTTTATAATGAAGAGGG